TGTACACCATCCTTAGCCATCACTGAAGTCCTTATCAAAACTACTTTCATTTATTTTCATACAGCTATCAGGGCGATTAAGACAAATAAGACAAATTACAACCTATGATGGCAAAGGAAAAGTAGCAAGGAGATTCCTTGACTTATAAGTGTAAACTTTTACAGCATCTGTGGAAATCAAGACGCAAACCTCAGAAATTTTGGAATCAATCTACCTCAACACCCAGATATGCCACTTTTGGGCATGTACCCAAAAATGTTCCTCAATCCTACCACAAAGGCACTTTCTCAACTATGTTTGTAGTGGCTTTATTCATAACAGCCAAGAACTGCTATGTCTGTGACATAATATGTTGATTGATGTGGAAAGACTCCTCCTCTAAGGATGGCAATGTCCCTAAGAAAATGGGTCTGGAAAATAAAAAAAAGAAAGTCAGGAAACAGTACTTGCTCATGGGGTATGCCTTCAATTTTTGATCCAAGTTTCTATTCCTAAGATCATAAAATGGTGGAGAATTATCTGACACAATGAGCTTAATAAACACATTCACTGCCTGAGATGCTTTGGTTAGAGGATTTAATTACAACAACATAAATGCAACTTACAAATAATAGAATACCAACATTGGTTTTCATTGCCAAGTAAGAGCTGGAAATGTTATCTTTTGGAAGAATGTGGATGATATCAAGACTTTAGGTGGAAAAAACATTGAAATTTGTAATTTGCCTTTCCTGTAGTGCTAGGAAGATGGGGATTATATGAATAATGGCAGAATGTAAGAGATTGAGATAATAGGATTTCAGTAAGAAGGATTGCGCGGAAAAAAATTAATCAAGAGGTCATGTGTGTGGTCAAAGATTTTGACTCTAAAATATTTCTTATTCCGCCTATCCCCTGGAAACATACTAGTGCAGAATTTAAAAGATAATGGGCTCCTTCCTTAAAGGTAATATTTAATATGTTGGATGTTCATTGTTGTTGATTCATACAGTAAGTCATGTCTACAGAGAACAAAACAAATAGGGTAGAAATAAGTGAAAAAGAAAAGGTAGTTTTAGATGGCAATCAAGTGCTAAACAGGCAGAAATTTTCAAGGAGTTCATTGGCATTATAAGAGAAGGATATTGCAATATAGTGGAAGCCTATCCAGGTTACCCAAGGGTAAGCAACAGCCTGCTAAATCATTGATTTATGGTTGATGTAAGCAAATTAATTTCTACTCCCAGGAAGCAATGTCAAACAAAATCTGCTACAACTGTGGTCTAAGTCTGTTAGTGTCTATCTCCATTAATAAGTCAATCTTGGGCTGGACAGATTACTCAGAGGTTAAGAGCACTGGTGCTATTCAAGTGGTCCTGTGTTCAATTCCCAGGAACCAGACGGTGTCTCACAACCATCCATTATGAGATCTGGTGCACTCTTATGGTGAGCAGATGTACATGGAAGCAGAATATTGTATATAATAAATAAATAAATAAATAA